TCATATACCAAGAGCAGTTTATTTTGGTCCAAAGGTTTGCCACTGCTGTTATTTTGAGAACTCAGTAAAAAGACATTAAATATCATTAATGAACATGAAGTGAAACTTAATTATGCATACGACTATGTTAACAAATGTTGTTGAATTTTTGATTTTCAATTTTTTTTTTAATATTTTGTTTAATATTATTTACTTATTTTGCATTGCCACCTGTGTTAGTATGAATTTTTAAGTGTTGCTACCGACAAAAAATACGCAATAATTGCAAAGTTCATAGATTTTAAATGGATAAAAACTATAATTACAGGTTTCTAAGATTCGATTTTTTTAAATTTTAATTTTAATTTTGTTTCGTAAATGTTTTTTTTTTGTTTTTTCTTATTGATGCAATTGTAATTTTTTTTCACTTGGTTGATTCTGATGATGAGGAGAAAACTTCTTGGTTTTATGAAATAACCGCAACTCAAGGTTAATCGCGGTATGGTAAATTCAAATTGTTATGAAATTGCTTTGGCTTTGACAAGTTTATTGTTTTAAATAGCTAACGTAATAAGTAGCCAACATTCTAAAATTAATGTTACATTAGCGAATGATAATGCCATTTGAATCATTCTATTTGCTTCCTAGCACCAAGCAAAGACAATTTTAATTAATTATAAACAAAAGCGCAAATGTATTTAGATTTTTGTTTATGGCGTTTTTTTGTGTTTTATTTTGGAACTGGTAATGAAAGGAAGGCGCTTGCTGTGATAATGACGGCAACGATAGAACTTATCATTCAACAACAACAATAACAGCAACATTAATGTAATGCATAAAATTTACTTCCGAATAAATGTTGCTCTCACTTGTTGTAGTTGCTCCTCTGGCTTTGAGGTTGCTGAGGCTGCTGAGGTTGCTGAGGTTGCTGATGTTGTGTTTTCTGTTGCTTGCTGCTTTTGTTTGCAGTCGTAATTTGTTTTGATTCGCTTAATTGAGTCAAACGAAGCTACCTAATTTAGATTCTAGAATCACACACTTTATTTATCTGAACTAAAAAGTACATTGTAGCAACTAAATTAAAATATAGTAATTGCCTATTCAACTGACTGATGTGCATAAAGAGATTTAGTTGACTAAATATTTCCGACTTGAGGAACAATTTATCAGCACTGCTTTTACTGCTTTTATATGACAAACTGGAACAATGGTAACACAATTATAGCTCAATAAGCACAACAATAATTATGTGTTTGTTGATCAATTAAATAGTAAATTTTAAAAAGATTTCTACATATTTATTATAATGATGTGATAAACTTAACGAAAATATTTTAAATTTGAAAAAATAAAGATGTTTTTCGAACAGTAGTGAACACAACTGTGTAAAAAATTTTTTTGGAACTGCAAGTACGAGGAATCGAACTCGTGTCCTGCCAAATTTGAAGCTTAGAGTCAGCACACCTAAGCCAAATGAACGAAAGCCATACTTGACTTTTTATGTTCGCACATTTTTTTGGAGTTTTACTTTATGAATTTTAAAAAATGTTTAATTTTCGAATAATTAAATTTATTAAGTTTTTAAAGTATCCGAAATGGATTGACTTATTGAGTGTTATACAAAACTATTTATATATAACAAAATTTTTTTCTAAATTTATTTATATCAGATAAGATATCAATAATATCGTAGGATATTAATATAATTCAAAACATTCAAGATAAATTGCTATGACATAGCACTTTATGTAATAGGCGTCCATAAACTGACGCTTTAAGAGAAAATTAAAAAGCAAGCAGACATAATCTAAAAACGTAATCTAAAAAAATGATTGCAACATATGATCTCGTATAATTCACTTGGAGTTTATTTAAAATAAAAAAGATATTAAGCTATACCAAAGGAATTTTTTTTTATATTAAATAAACTCAAAGAAACTCGTATATATGTAACTAGTTATAACTTTATAAAATTATAATACTTTTATAATATTTATATAAATATATCTCTATCTTAAATTATATTTAATAATAATATAAAATTTTAATTTTTTTATTGCTTTTTTTCTGAAGTAATTTTATTTTTGCTTTAAGTGAAACTACCGCATTTTCCAACCATTCAACCAGAAAAGAACTAAACCAAAATATTCAAGGCCTTTAACTTGCAACAGTTGCTGCAGGTTAAATATTGCAACATTTAAAGTTGTTGCAATTCCAGTTACGAGTCTTTTCAAATGCCAAAGTCATATAATTAATGTGGCATTAGAACCAAATAAATCGGTTTTAGATAGGTGGGGACGGTGTAAACCAATTTTTTTGGTTTACACTTTGCAATTTACAACATTGATATGAGGTACATGGTTTTATAAAATAATCGAAATATTACGACTTGCAGCTACATTGCATAAATTAATGAAAATCTTCGGAATTCACAAAGAATAACAGTCTTAGTTAACACCTGCAATTGAATAAATGTATTTCGAAATAATACAAATTATTATTCAAATTATAAATAAATTTCTGGACACTAATAAACAAGTAAAATTTAAAATTTACTTCATATTATAATATTTAAGCAAACAATGAAAAGAAATACATCGCCAGTCAATGTGAACTTAAAAAAATCCTTTAAGATCATTTATTAAAATAAATAAGCCAGAAGGAGGAAACGTCCTCATTAAGTAAATTAAAGTTCATTGTTTGTGGTAATTTTTATGTTTCAATGAAATGCAATGACAAAAAAGGAAAAAAGGAGAGGCTACACACCTATGATTATAATAATCAAATTTCGATCAGTTTTAAAAATAAGAACCACTAAAACCATAAATTACCCAAATAAATTGATTGATTGAAACAAACCACTTTATTCATTCATGAAGTCGGAGCTCCACTCAACTGAAATGTATGTATAATTACAAATAAATAACAATTTAATTACTAGGTAATTGCATAAAATGAAAATTGAATAAGAAAATAAAAACTCCTAAAAACAATAAAGTTTAATAATATTATAAAAATAATAAATAAATCATTTCTGAAAATAATTAAAAATTGGAAGATTATCAGTAATTAGTGTTCAAATGCAATACGAAAAACGTACATTTATTTATTTTGTGTTATATCTATTCATTTCTTGAAATTCCTTTCTAAGATATAACTTTTCTAAGATATAACATTTAACAAGAACTCGTTGTATTCATGTTAAAAAGCTATATTTTTAAAATGGTTTTAATTGATAAAGTTTACTACTACATATGTTTACCCATACATTGTATTATTAAGTTTTTAGTTTTACTGAATTATATACAATAATAACTTTAAAAATCAATATCGACTTTTATCATAATTTCATATCGGTTTTTTATTAGCCTAAAACAGCAATTACGAGCTAGACCATGTGAACCAGGTTTTTGGGTTTATTCATATAAATAGTTGGAAGTAGTAAATTAAAATATTTTAATAAAGTTCTTAAATTTTAATACCGATTTAAAGTTGCCTCGAGGTTAAAAAAATAATTACAATAATTTTACGGCAATTATAAATTTTAACTAAATTTTTGAGCTGGTCAATTAAAAATTTTTTTTAAATTTTTTTCAAATTTTTGTCAAATCATATACACAGTTTTATTATAATTTCTTAATGGCTACACATTATTTATATATTGTACAAGAAACATAAACATAACTATTATTTTTTCTGCTTTAATTTATTTATATTCAGACCTTTTCTCCAGGCAGATATATTAAAAAAAAAAAACTAAATTTAAAATAAAATATATTTTTAAAAAAAGTATTTTACTTTAAAATAAAAAATCTTTTTCAAAAAAAGAAAAAAGGACATTGAGAATTATAAATTCGATTATATTAATATGTTATTAAATATTAATAAATTATATTATTAATAAATTATATTATTATAAAATATTATATATTATAATAATATAAATAAATTATATTATTAATATTTAATAATAAATTAAATATTAATGTATTAAATGAAAAGTTTCGATCATAAGCCATATATTATTAAACTCAGAAAGTGTAAGGATAAAAATATGAATGAAAGGAATATGAAAATATGAAGTTTCAACTTAAAATAATATGGAAAATGACTATGTTTTATAATATATCTTTATTTTTTATTGTTTTAATTTTTGTGAAATTAAATTTATGAGAAGCCTATAACGTAGGCTCAATTTGCGAAATGTAAAATTCAAACGAGTTTGTGATATATAAAGAAAGTTAAGTTAATGATTTTTATTGTAGAAATATTGCTAATCTATTGATATACAAAATTTATATCAATATTATTAATACGAATATATATAAGCAGTAATTCAGAATATTTTTTATAATTGTATATTTAATATGTTTTTACACTCTTTTGCTATTTGTCTTTTAAATGTTAATTATTTTATGACCAAACAATATTTGGTCATAAGTATATTTTTTTTCAGGCCAATTCTTTAAAACTTTTTTATTGTTGTTAAAAATTAAAAATAAAAATTAAGAAAAAGAAATCGAAATCTTTACGATGCATACTTTTATATTTTTATAATTTAATATTATATTGTATTATTATAATACAATATAATATAATATTTCATTATATATTTCAATTTTAATATTATTTGAATTTAATTTTTTAATTATAATTAGTTTTTCTTAATTTTTTTTATTTTTAATCTCTTTTAATATTTTTAAAATTTTTTAAAATTATATACTTATCATTTAAATAATATTTAATAATAAATTAAATTATTTTTTCCATGAACATTCATATACTAGTAAGTAAAACAAAAAAGGATTATCTAGATTTTATTATATACACTGCTAAAAATATATTTTTACACTTGTAGCAGAAAAAAGGATATTTTCTGGTTAAGTAAACTATTAAATAAAAAATACAATAAACAGGCATTGCTTTTTTTAAACACAATAGAAAAACTTTTATAATTAATTTTTGGTTAAAAAAGATTTGGTTAAATTGTCACTGTTTTTTAAAAAATATTAAACGCTTACATTGATTATTAGAGTTGTTTTTTCGAGCACACAATTTTTATTTTTATTATTATGTTTTAAATTCCAAACTTGTTATATTAAAACACTTTGAAATATAATTCACTAAATCAAACGAAATTCCTTTTTAATCCAGCTAATCCACGCTCTGTTAAAAAAGCTAATTCCTTGATCGTTACGTAGAACACCGCGCTTAAGAACTAAACAGAACTTGCTAAATGACCATCTTTTATATTGTAAAACTCGCGGATACCAGCAGCACAAGCCAAGAGCAAACCAAAGCAGCATTATGGAAACAGGCAGCGACTTTACGCAGCTGCAATTGTGCAATATTATTAAGCTTGTACTCGTACAATAGAATAGAAACTTAAATGAGAGAGCATGAAAGATAGAGCTTTAAAGATAAAGCATGAAAGAGAGCTTCTTTGCTATTTTTCCAATATGATTGGCTGGCATAATTCAGTATTTTAGCTAATTGAGTATTCAGTTTTCAGTTCGAAAAACTTGCATTTAAAAACATTCGAATGACGTATGAAGTTTTTATTCAATAAAGGAAGTGTTGTCAAAAAAGTTCGTGTAGTAATTACAAATACAATATTTAATATAAAAAATATATTCTATTTAAATACATAGATTTCCATAAATATATACTTGTTTCTGTTATATATATACATATATATATAAATCTTTATTTTAAAAGTACCTCTTAAAGACAATTCAAACTTGTCTTTAAGTTTCAAAGATAATTAGTAACTTTGTTTTAGAACTGAATATATGATATGAGTTCTAAATTTTATACAATTTAAAATATATATAAGATATGAAGTAAATATTAATTATTTTTTTTTTATGTCTTATAGTTACGTATATTAATAATATGAATGTCTTTAATTTTAAAAAAAATAAATTTTCGTACAATTTTTACCTAATCATAATTTATATTTTTTAACATATATTTTAAATAGTTATTTTACCATATAAAAAACTGAAACGAATGTAAGTAAAGTTATATTTCTATTAATGAAATTTATATGTCATTTTTATAATTTTTTAATAGTTAACGTTAATATTTATAGAACATATATATAGAAAATGTTCTGTATTGAATATATAAATTTTTGTATAGAAATTAAATGCAGATTAAACGATTAAGGAATTAAAATTACAAGATAATATGTTAATTTCCGTATTATTTTTATTTATAGAAATGTATAACAATAATACGGACATGTAATTAGTAAATCCAAACTTAAATATATTCTTATATTAACTTAAATATTATAATTTTTCCCCATTGCATAATAATGAGTATGTATTTATTTCATTTTATAATATAGATTTACGTTATGAATTGAAAATATATTTATTTAAATATATACTATATGATATTATTTTATCAGATTATTACTTTTAAATGAGTGTAACTGTATTGCTATAAAAGCTTCAAGTGCACAGTACAAGCCTTTTATTGCAAACACGACAAACCGGTTGAAAATGAAGTTATTTTTGAAAAGGCTGCTATAAAAAAGGTAACCAGAAAGCAATTTATGCGGACTTAACGAGTTCAGCATGCATGCACTACTTTAAAGAAATTTAAATGGACACTAATGGATAGACAGTGTGTATAGATTATAAAATACAATTACTCAATTAATCATTATATACATATAATATATACTTTATGGATGAAAAAGTTCAATTGATATCAACAAATTTTTTAACACTCAAAAAGGAGTGAAATCGTATCAAAAGTCTATATATGTAATGACATTTCAACTTCAATAAAATTAATATAGTAAATAAGATGTTAAGCCAACTATCTTTAAAATTAAAATAATACTCAATATACATAATAACTCATCAGCACTTTTTTTATATTTATTTTAAGAAAATATCTTTACAAAAAATGTGTTACTCCTAAAACCTCAAAGAATATGTTTTGGTTTATGATTAAGGAACAAAGTTTTTGAGATTTTATCAGATTATTATATGTAGTTATTTTACAATATGTAACTATAACAACAAACTGGGCATTCTCCTTAATGCAATCACAGAAGTTTTGGGAAAAAAACGAAAAAGAGACAATTTAACACTTTATGTATAAATGAGCAAGGCTGAAAAGACTAAGGCATTCCATTATGAGGGCCTACAAACTAACAACCTTGGCGGACATCACAAATCACAAATATAGATCTTGAAATAATAATTCCTTTTAACAACCAAGCGGATATGCTTTAAATAAATTTCTTCTTAAATATTGTGTCTGGTTGAAACATAACTAAGCCATCACAAATCAAATATATACCAAAGAATTTTTTTAATTTTTTCAATTTACAGCAACTTGAAAGAACAGTATCAAACAGTATCAAAGAGTATCAAAGTAAAAATATTTTTAGTCAGAAAACTATAAAAGCTATACGTTGTTTTCTAACCTAAGGAATATAGTCATCATAAAATTTCACCACATAGCTTGCAATAGTTAGATGATAGACAAGTAGAGTTGAACCACATCTAATCTGTATATTTGACTTAATATGTATTTTAAGGTCTTTCTATGTTTTCAGTGCCTGAGACCATAGATGATGAATGAAAATTGTGAAATAAATAATTTCTAATAATTAGTAGTTATTTCAAACGGATTAAGTGAATATAAATAATATATGTTAGTATTTATTATTTATTTTATAAACTTTCTACTTTTATAACTTTACATGCATAATATAAGAATATCTTAAAATATCTAGCTTTTGTGTACATATAATTTATATAATAACATATATATACATCTATATATATTCATATTTATCACTAGACAAATAGGTACAACAAAGTCATATGATTAATATATATATATAATAAAAACATGTACGTGACGTGATTTGTGATATAATATGTATGTAGGTTTAAATATGTATATAGTACTACACATTTTACATTTCTATACTAGATTTACCAATCATATTAATATAAACAATTATAGACAATTTTTTGAACTATTCCTGTTACTTTTAGATACGCGGGTAAATAAATTTCATTTGACATGAACAAGGAAAACATTACTTTATGAATAAACTAACGAACTAACAAATTTTTGCATAATTAATCAAATAATTGTTAAGGTCGTCTGTAACTGAACTAAATTCACGCAAAGAAAGCTACTAACATGTGTTCTTAGAAGTTGTACTAGAAATTCAATATATCAGCTGTGCTCGATAAATACAATAAAAAATCACACATATTTGAAGTAGTATTTCCTACACTTTCTGGTAAGTTGTTCAAACCATATATTTCATTACGATATATTTCCATATATCAAGTTATATATATATTTATTTTATAGTATGGCTTTCCTAACAAATTTATCACTCTATGTATGTACTTATGGTATGCATACAATTCTAGTTTTCTAAATATTTATTTAATTTTGTGTATAAATAATTGAATACGACAATAATAAACTCTATTTTAATGGACTTTTTAATATAATTTTAATTAGATACTAAAAATAAATTAATAATTTATATTACGTGTAAATAATATATGCATTTTACATTTATGACCATTTCAGTTTCAGTACACCTGCAATGACATCAAAGTATTTAATATATTTAAAATTTATTAAATAAATCTGTAAAACAAATATTGGTGTAAGTAAGTGAGTTGGTACTGTTCCTTGAGCAGGTTACAGCAGGTTAATTAATAATTAAACCAAAAACTGTACACCTATTAAGACAAAATCGATGTCTGTTCGATTACATTAAGTTTGTTATATAAAAATAAAATTTGCATACATTTAAAAGTTTTTTTTAGTAACAATATTAAAAACAAATTTCATTCAATTTTTTCTTAAAATAATACTTAATAAATATATATTGTGGTATTTTAATATTTGAATGTTTATTTCCAATCAAATACGACAGCCCTGACAACTTGTGTTCGATTTCTTTTTCAGTTATAAGAATTTATATATATATGTGATAAATAAAAATTTTTATTAAATTTTTAAAATATTTTTAAATTTATATAATTAACAATTTTTCAAATCATTTTTTTTATTATTCTATTATTTTTAAAATTTTTGTAGTAAAAAATAAATAAAATAAATCCGATAACACGTTATGCAGACTATAATTTTATAATTGCAATTTATTACATTGATGTTTAATAATAAAAAATAAATTATTTGACGAACACATTGGTTTGGTCTTATTGTTTAATTGTTCATTGTTTGTTGATAAATATCTTTAACAGACCAAACTAAGAACAAAATAGATCTTGACTAGCAGAATTTTCATATTCACTTGCTCACTTAAATGTGCTGTTGTACGAATGTGACTTTGATTAATTACGATACTAGCTTGTACTGGTGATGCTACGACACATCTACCAGATATCTATGCTTTGAATGGAAGTGCAATCATTTTCCAATCTTAAATATAATACATTTTGACCTTGTAGTTCACTTCACATAAGATTTCAATGAGCAATAGCCAAGGTTATTACAAGTATAAGAACATTGAGTGTTAAGAGTGTTAAAGTGTTAAGAGGAAATAATTAACTAAAGATAATAAATAATGATATATGTATGTATAAGCGCATAAACAAGTATAACGTAATTATTCTTAACATAAAATTTACTAAAAACTCAAATAAATTTTAGCTGCACATATTAAAGTAGCCTTTTTTTTTAAAAATTTAACTGACAATTGTCTTTATATTTAAATTACAATATATAAGTAACTGATAACTGTATACTTCACTAAGAACTTAAAACATATAAACATTTTTTTTATTATTTTATTAATAGTATATGCAATATAAATCCATTGACGAAATTGAATCAGTAATACATTAAGCTCGAAGCTTCTACATATCTACAAGATATCTATTTAAAAAAAATTATTATTTTTCTTTTAAATATTTTTATTCATAGATTTTATTTTATTTATTTTATGTAATTATTAAATAAAATTATATTAATATTTTAATAATAAAATTTGTTGTTTGAAAGTTTATTTGAATATTTCATCAGAGCATGCTGTTCCAACAACTCCATTATTTGTGACGTTGGCAGCATAAATATCTGATGCGTTTTTCAGGTTTCGGAGTAACTACATTTAACTAGAAAATGGTGTCATTAGTAGACATGACATCTTGCATAACAATTTAAAATTAAAAAAAAAAAAG